GAGGGGCCAAGGCTGAGGCTGTTCATTTCTGGCCACTGGCCTGGCCTCTAGGGCAGGGCTTGGGCAGATACAACTTATAAGAAGCACAGCAGAGATTTGTGGTTAAGACCTTGGGCTTAAGGGCTCAGAGAGTTCTAGGTTCAAGTTCTAACTCCTTTAATCAGTGCATGACATTGGGTAAGAGACTCGTGGGAGGCTGGGCCTCTGCTGGGGAGGCAGGATTGCACCCTGTGGGCCAGGGCCTGGAGTCCAACGAACAGTTCAGTCCTTACTGGACCTGTGACCTTGAGCAAATCACTCCACCCCTTGAGCTGCAGTTTGGAAATGAGGAGACTCCACCTCACATGCTCCACGGCTGGGAGGTGCCGATGGGACAGCGCCTGTGACATGCGTGTCTCCCTGCTCGACCAACAAGTGTGTTTCGTAAAGGTTGGTTGTTACCACCACCATCAAACCCTCCTCTGGGGAAACTTCCGGCTTGTGACTGGTTTGAGTGTGTGGTTGTCACCTTTCACCTCGTTTCTCAGTCCCCCTCCACCTGACTTAGAACTTTCATCACAATGCCTTTAGGACATCAGGGTGGGGGGCCCCACGGGCACCCTTCTCCCATCACACTGGGGCTCTGGGCCTCTGGCCTTCTTCCCGTGTCTCCCCTCCCCCTGAAGTATCCTCTTCTGAGCAAAGCTCAAGTGGGGTGCTATTTGGTGACACTGCCTCCATGGGGATGTACTGTCCAGAAATAGCCTCTTTCGGTCCCCAAGGAGGATGAGAATGCAGGCTGTGTCGCGTTAATGTCATAGGTGCCCCGTGAATAATATTTTTGACTAAGGTTTACATTAGATGTGATCAAATCAGGTGTGTGTAAGACTTACCCTTGGCTGCCAAGGGGGCACACCCCCAGCAATGGCACCTGTCACTATCCGCATCTCACAACCATCTGGCTCCTTACCACCTGTGGTGGGGGTGGGGATCGCTTCAGATTCCTGGGTAAGGTGCTGCCAGAGAGAACCCCACTTCCATGTGGGTGCTTTGAAGATCTGGTCTGCAGCCAGCAGCTCTGCTGGCCTGGACTTTCCCCAGCAAGGTTCTCCCAGGGATTGCCTCCCACGCGGTTGGGAGCATCTCTGGATACACACTGCCCCCTCGAGGTCTCTGCTTGCCATGACACCCGGTAGAGCTGACCCCATATAAGAGGAAATGGATCCAGATGATGCTTACCTTCCCAGCGTCCTCCTTGGGTGCCTTATGATTGGTCCAAAATACAAACGTCTTTGGAGTTTTGGGCAGTGTATGCACTCTCAGCCTGAAAACCCGGAATCGACCCTAGTGCCCTCTATTGCCTTCCAGAAGAAAGGCAACTCAGGGCAACTGCCAGAACACAAATACAGAGCCACAGGTGGTCTTGGGACTCCAGGCTCTCTGTATTTTTTTTGTTTTTAATGCTTATTTAATTTTGAGAGAGAGAGAGAGACAGAGACAGAGAACAAGGAGGGGAGGGGCAGAGAGAGAGGGCCACATAGAATCTGAAGCAGGCTCCAGGCTCTGGGCTGTCAGCGCAGAGCCTGATGCGGGGCTCGATCCCACAAACTGTGAGATCATGACCTGAGCCGAGATCAATCAAGAGTCAGATGCTTAACCGATTGAGCCACGCGGGCGCCCCCGGATTTTTTTTTAAATCGTAAGAGTTAAATCATAAATAAAAATAAAAACTGTATCCATCTCCCCGCCAGAAAAAGATCAGCCCCAAACTCAGAGTTGGGTTATGACTGTGTCTGGGGCGGGCTCCCATCTGCATCAAGAGTCCAAGTGAACAGTCAGCAAATTGTCTCTAATCGTTGTCCAAGCAGACGGAGTCCGCCAGTGCCCGTCCTGGGCCCGCTAAGATCTTAGCCTTGGGGGCCTCTGCCCACACCTTTTCCCCTCCTGGAATCCTCACCCACATTCTTGTCTGGCTGACCCTCAGTACAGGCATTGGTGTCTCCTTCCAAGGACATTTCTCCAGTGTCCCAAACTGATTAGGTGCTGCTCACGTGTGCTCCTGTAACCCACTACAACCACGTACCAAACTGTATTGTCATCATTTCCTAGACCCCTGACTTCCTGCTGCCGGGGGGCACTGTGTGGCAGAGACCCAGAGGCCACGGCTCCCCAGCTCCTGGCGCTGAGAGGCTCCGTGTGGACAGAGGCAGGACGAGCCAGCTGTCCAGGTGAAGAAAATGGTGTGAGGTGGGGGGGAACCTCCAGGAGGGGGCCACTCCCCCTGGGGTTCCCACCACCCTGAGCCTGGCTGCTTACCTCTCCTCCTCTTCCTCCTCCACTGGAAGATGATGTGGCCCAGGAAGCTGAAAGGGAAAAGTCAAGTGCGGTGACAGCTGGGTAGGACCTGAGACATGTTAGAGGCTCAGAAGTCTGTCCCAGTCCGGGATCCATTTCCAGTGAGATCATCAGCTCTCCCTCAGGACCTAAGGGGATGGGATCAGGGCCACATTCAGTTTGGCAAATAACGAGTGTGTGTGAGGTGCAGGCGGGAAAGGTGACAGTCTGATTTTTTAAAAATGTTTATTATTTTGAGAGAGAGAGAGAGAGAGAGAGAGACAGAGTGCGAGCAGAGGAAGGGCAGACAGAGAAGGAGACACAGAATTCGAAGCAGGCTCCAGGCTCTGAGCTGTCAGCGCAGAGCCCAATGGGGAGCTCGAACCCACAAACTGTTAGATCATGACCTGAGCTGAAGTTGGCCACTTAACCAACTGAGCCACCCAGGTGCCCCAAGATGAATCTGACAGTCTTGTCCTCAGAGGGCGCCCAGCCCCACAAGGCCTCATGGTGTTAGGTCCAGGTTAGAAGAAGCCTGGGGTCCGGAGCCAGACAGACCTGGGCTCTTGTCCAGGTTCGGCCACTCTCTGACTTTGACAAATTGCCTCCGCTCTCTGAGCCTCAGTTTCCTCACCTGCCAAATGGGGACTCTAATAGAACCTATCCCATCAGGGGGTTGTGAAAACCTATTGACATTATGATGTGAAAGTACAGGAAATGGCAAGGATGGAAAGAGAAACCCCAAAATGAGAACGTACTTGGGCTTTCATGGTCATGAACAGGGACGTAGAGACGCAAACAAGCGTTTGGGGTCCAGAAAGCGCTGGAGCGCCAGCATGGTTCAGGCCAGCCACGGAAGCGCAGGTGCAGCTGCTCACTGAGTCCTGGAAGAATGCTGTGGAGCCAGGCACTTGTGGCTCGGACGGCAGCCAGTCTCCACCAAATAGCCATGTGCTGCTCACTCCTGTTTCCCAGTCCCCAGCAGGCTTGGGCCATGTGACTAGCTCTGGACAATTGTCTGCGAGCAGGAGTGATGGCTGCTGACCTGGGGAGGGCTCCATTCCGAGCTGATGTGTCTTTCCCTCTTCTCTTCTCCCTGCTGTGGATTCCGGCGGTGAAGCCCGAAGAGGTGGGGGACGGGGGAGGGGCTGCCAGACTCTCATCAGACTTTATGAAATCAACCCTTCCGGTGCTCAGCCACGGAGATCTGGGGGTTGTTTGTTGAGGTAGCTAGTGCACGCTGCCACACTGCATACAATACTACTATTATTTCTGCTTCTTGAGGCCAGGTCATGGCCTGTGGCCACACAGCTCTTAAGCGGATAGAGCCGGAACCCACAGTCAGGCCCAACTTACAGGGCCGGTTTTTCGAAACGTCCCTCACCTAGTGACAGCCTGTCTTCAAGCACTGCTATCACATCTAAGATCTTAAGAAGATGTCCTGCAGGGACAGCCGGATGAGCAGCTCGAACAGTCAGAACACTTGGCAAGTTCAGTGTGAAATCCTGTCATTCTGGATGGTACTGAGCACTTGAAACACTAGTTTGACTTCTGCTGGTGCTGGTGGTTCAGGATAAGCAACACACAAGGAAGACACGGCTCGCCCTGGCTTGGCGGACTATAGCTGGGGACCGGAACGCTCATTGTGCAGAAGGACTCACAAGGGAAGAATTCCTCCAGTGTCACGGTTTCACCCTCAGCCCTTACCCGCTTGTGCCCCAGCCCAGAAAGGCAATTCCACAAACTGTAAGCTTTCAGAACTAGACTTGTGCTTGAATCCCTGCTCTGCCACTTACTGGCTGTGCAACCTTAGGTGAGTCACTTTGCTTCTCTGAGCCTCAATTTCCTCATCCTTAGCAATACTAAGTCCTCATAGGATGGACTCCGGCATTAGAGATGATGGATGAAGGGTACTTAGCATAGTGCTTGGTACGTGTAAGCTTGTTTGCAATTTTTTTTAATGCTTATTTATTTTTGAGAAAGAGAGAGCAGGAGAGGGGCGGAGAGAGGGACAGAGGATCCCAAGCAGGCTCTGTGCTGACAGCAGAGAGCCCAATGCAGGGCTCAGACTCCCGAACCATGAAATCATGACTTGAGCTGAAGTCGGACGCTTAACAGACTGAGTCATCCAGGCGCCCCACAATTTTTTTTTAATTAAAAAAGATTTTTTAATTAAAAAGAGAGAGGCAGAGTGAGAGCGGGGAAGGGACAGAGAGAGAGGGAGACACAGAGTCTGAAGCAGGCTCCAGACTCTGAGCTGTCAGCACACAGCCCGATATGGGGCTCGAACTTACAAAGTGTGAGATCATGACCTGAGCCAAAGTCTGGTGCTTAACCAATTGAGCCACCCAGGCACCCCAATTTTTTTTTTTTAATTTTAGGGAGAAAGAGAGAGAATCCTAAGCAGGCTCTGTGCTCAGTGTGGAGCCTGACATGAGGCTCGATCTCACGACTGTGAGATCATGACCTGAGCCGAAATCAAGTCAATCAGATGCTTGACTGAGCCACCCAGGCATCCTGTGTAAGCTTGTTATAATCCAAGGCAGACTGTTTTTCTCCCAGGGATGACCAGGGGGCTTCCCAGGGAAGATCAGAGGAGAGGGACTCCATGTACAGATTTATACCAAGATTGCTTATATGTTTATTTACAAACAGGAGACACACACACACACACACACACACACACACACACACACACACACATATAGATATCACTGGACATTTCAGGAAACTTGGACCAGGGAACAGCCCTTCTTCTCTGTCTGCCTCTTCTCTGGGCTCCCTCCAAACTCAGCTTGAGCTCTCTAGAAAAGGGCTCCTGACCCTTTCTTGCTGGGAAGCCTGTGGGTGTTCTGTTCTGGCTGGGCTCGCGTTGCCTCTCATGTCCAAATCTGCCTGTCCCAGTGGGCCATGGGCAAGGGGCTGTTAGCCTTTGCTCAGTCATTCATGTCCAAGCCAAATTCTGCATACAACTCTTTGGTGGTGACACCTCGGATCACGGCTGAAAGGAAAGAAGGAAGAAAGAATGTGTCCAGTGGGAGGCATAGGAAGGAGAATGGCCCAAGGACTGAGCTACCCAGGACCCACTCCTACACCTTATTCCTTCTCCTCTAGTTGGCCGAGATACCCTCCTGCTACTCCTTCTAGACCCCTCCACTGTGGGCCCTGCTTGGCCACCCCAAACTAGACTCATTGAACCCTCACCCCACTTCGCAGAGGAGCCAAACAAAGCTGAGACTGCACTGAGCATACGCTGAAAATGTAAATTTATATTCACATTGCACCTGGGGCCTGCTGAAAACTCTCATTCCTTAGGCTGCCCTATAGGCCATGTCCTGGCCATTTGGTGATGCCATGCTTCCTGCTCCCTCAAGGACTCATTTTTCCTCTCAGGGAAAAGGGGTCTCCTCAGAGGCCTTCTCTAACCACCTTAGCTCATCCCCACCTGCCACCCTGTTCATGTCTCAGTATTCCCCAGCTCTGGCCTTTGTTTCCTTCATAGCAGTTAACACATTTTATAATTCCTTTCTTTGTGCTCCTTTGCTTACTGAATAGGCCCCAGAAGACTGGGAACCAAAGCCCTCAACCTGGCAGGTTGGTGAGTTCATGCTCAAACCTGTCTCTGATGCAGGCCCTATACTTGAAGGAAAAAACCTCAGGGACTCCTGTAAGAGCTGTCCAGCTGCTTTGGGGCATTTGGGGAGCAGGGCAGCTGAGGATGGGAGGGCTGGAAAATTAGAGGGCCCAGGAACAAAATCCAAACATCCTGGGGAATGGGGACTCCTTCCCTCTGAGCCCTGGCTACTCCTCTGGGGTCCTGATGCTCACCTAGCTTGCCTAGCAGCATCTGGCCTACATCCTTGATGTCGTTATACTCGTGGAGCTGGGAGATGTGGTCCTCCAGTTCATCCACACTGTAGCCTCTGGGATGAGGGATGGAAGAGAGAGAGAGAGAGAAAAAATGTTTAAGAAAGCTGGGGAGGACCCAAGGTTCAGAGAGTAACAAGGCATCTATCTAACAAATGTTCACTAGGGGCCTACTAGGGACACAGGGAGGGCCCTGAGGAAACTTACAGTAGGGTGGGGATCTGTCCAGCCCCTCGCTCCTGGCAAACGTCTCAGTGCCCTTAGGGGGTGGTTCCCAGCCACACGCTGGTACTCTGTGACCCTGGCCATAGCCGAGGGATTCACAGATAAGCACAGGAGTGGCTACTCAGATCCCCTCATGTGTGAAAGGCACATTCAAAGGCTGCTCAGTCTATGCCACGTGGCCAGAGCATGGGGCATGGGAAAATCTAGGAGTTGCGGAAGAGCCAGCTTCCCCCCAGGCACTGAGAATCCCACCTGCAGAGAGAGAAAGAATGGAGTCCGTGTGCAGATGGGAGCAGAGGCAGAGAACCAGGGCCCAGAGAGAGACCGCGAGAGGGATAACCTCTGTTCTGGACAGCTTTCCTCTTCCTAGTTCCAGGTCCTCCTGGGTCTGACCACACCCTACCTGCAAGATTCAGCTGAGACACCCTGAATCCAACAGCAGGGCATGGGGTACGGTCCTTAGTTTTACACTAAGCTAGTGCGGCTGGGTTTCAGTTAACTGGGCACTGGTTAAAAGTTATCTTAAACATGCTGAGGGGTCCAGCAAGACTTACTCAGATATTAGTTGGGAGATCTCCGTGTCCAGCAGGTCCCTCTTCTCCTTCAGTTTCTGAATGTCAAGGTGCAGAGAATCCTCGCTGGCTCCATCAGCCTGGCCAGACTTGGGAGATGGCCGCTGAGCGGCACAGAAAGTCATTAGCCAAGGGCGCCTGGATGGCTCAGTTGGCTGAGCATCCAACTTTGGCTCAGGTCATGATCTCATGGGTTTGTGAGTTCAAGCCCCGCATCAGGCTCGCTGCTGTCAGCGTGTAGCCTGCTTTGGATCCTCTGTCCTCCTTTCTCTCTGCCCCCCCTCCCCTCAAAAATAAAGCAATAAAAAAAAAAAAAAAGTCATTAGCCACACTGACCCATTATCCACAATTTAGAACCTACAAGTTGTCCTCAACAGCCTACCCCTGCTTCTGCCTGCTGACAGACTCCCCCCACCTTTTAATAAGATTACATTTCCCCGCTTCCCTTGGAATTAGATGTGGTCCCTCTAAGTTCCGGCGAGTAGAAGTTAATCAGAAATGGTGTGTACGTCTGGGAACTGTCCTTCCAGGAAGAGGGCCTCCCTTTCTCTGGCCTTCCTCTTTCCCACTGGCTGGGATGTGAATCTAATGACAGAGTTGATCAGTATCTTGGGCGATGAGGTGGAACCCATGTTGAAGATGTGGTAAAACAAGATATAGACCTGGGTCCCTGAGGGTTAGGGTTAGGCCACCATTATTTAGGGTTTTCTTTCACTCCCAGCCAGACGTAATCCTAACCAGTGGGCTCACCCTGGCCCCTAATCTGACCTCAGATAATCTGCTTCAAGTCTACTTCTTGGATTCTCAAGTCTATGATGTCGCTGGGCTTATCATCTCATTGGATAACAAAATCCTCCCCGGGAGCTGCCGTTCACCTTTGCCCTTTCTGCCTCTAAAAGCTGCGAAGTCCAGTGCCTGGGACGCTGCTAATCTTCAGGAAATGCGTGTTGGATCAACTGTCTGCACAGGACAGAAGAGACCGAGGAAGGGATTCAGCAACGGATAAGACCGCAAGCCTGGCCCCTGCCTTCACAGAATGTATATACAACAGCCAATAACTGTGTTTTCCCTCCAGAGAGCTCCACTGAAAGCTCTACTCACACTTCACCAGAAAGGCCTTGCCTGGCCACCCCGCCTAAAACGGTCACTTCTCAATGGCCCACTATTCCTTTGTCCTGATACTTTATAACATCCATCACCACCCGACATAGACGTTTCATTAATAACCTTATGCTCCTTGTTGGCCTTACACCACTGGAGTGTAAACTGCATGAGGGCAGGGACTTCGTTTTGTTCACTGTGTCCCCAACAGTGCCTGGCACGTGGTGGACATTCAGTAAAATGTGCCAAATGAATGAGTGAATGACAAATAATTAACCAACTAACAACAAGCCTGAAAAGTGCTTTGAACTTGAAGTACCGTGTGCTAAGGGAGCGCCTAACGGGGCAACCGGACTGAGCCAGAAGTTGGGGTGAGGCTTCTCTTAGGGACCTCAACTCTAAAGGATGAGCAAGCATCAGCTTGGCAAAAAGCTGGAAGGAAAGTATTCCAGAAGGGGAGCGTGTATCTAGATGGCCAAGGTAGGAAAAGAACACATGCGTCTGAGGGAATGAGAATGGCTTCTGCATGGGGTGGATCGTGGTGTGAAAAAGAACAAAACCAACCACTTGTGGTGCTGTCAGGAGGGAGGAGAGACAGAGCCGGCTCGGAGAACGTGGGGTACCGCTGGCAAAGGCCAGGACACCGTTTCTTCTTTGAAGCTTGGTGGGCAGGAGGAAAAGAAGGGGAAGGCTTGAGAAATGGCCTGGAGTTTCTCAGCAGAACAAGGTCTGCTGGGTGAAGGCCTGACGAGGGCTGGGGTGGGTCAGCTACTGTTGGGGACGGGGAGGAGGGCTGGGGGCAGCACCCACTTACCGCCGTGGAGGGTGAGAAGGGGGGCGGGCACAAGGGTACTCACAGGGGATTGGAAGGCCCCGCGGCAACTTTTGGAAAGTCCTGGTTGAGTCCTGGAGAGGAATCCGAGGGAAAAAAAGACTGATTGAACCTAGAATCCGCGCTGGGAGGAAACGGGTATGTGGGGGTGTAGGAGGTAAGGAGTTGGGAAGGGGGCAGATAGGGTCCGGGATCGGGGCAGGGATCCTCAAGGAAGGAGGATTCTGAGAAGGGGAGTGTGGAGGGCTAGATGGGGGGCTCTGGAAGTGATCTCTGAGATGAGAGTTGGGCAGGGCTATGAGGCATCAGGAAAGGGGCCGTGAAGGGATGCGCTTTCGCCCTGCTGTCCGCTCTTCGCCCACCTTCTGAGCCCTGGGGTCCGGGGCCCCCGACTCGGGGGAGTCTGCAGTGCAGGAGCGTCCAGGGCGGAGGCGGGAGAGCGGCCTCTCAGGCCCGCCAGGTAACCGGGAGCTTAGGATGGAGACCGGCAACGGACAGGTAGCGAGCTGCGCGCGCACCCTGCGAGCCCAGGCCCCGCCCCGCCCCCCGAGGTGGGCGGGGACAGCGGCTGCGCGCGCAGCTTTCATCGTGACTCCACCTGTCCGTTTGAGCTCGCGGGACTCTAACCACGCCCCTTCCCTTTCATCTCTCTTGTCGGCCAATAGGATTGGAGGATTGAGGCCACGCCCCACCCAGCTGGAGCTAGAAACGCCCCGTCCCTCCTTTTCTGGCCATCATGTCTGCGCGGTGACTACCGGGAGCAGTTCCGCAGTGGTTGCTGGGATCGCGATGATGTGGCCTCCCCCGCCCCCCTCCCCGTCCCGTGATGTCGGAAGAAACCCGACAGAGCAAATTGGCTGCGGCCAGGAAAAAGGTAAAGCGTGCCGAGTCGCGGCTCCCTGATCCAGCCAAAGGCCCCTTCGACGGCCGGGCGGTGGTCAGAGTCTGTGCTGCCCCTAAGGCACACAGGGAGAGCCCCTCGGCGCCCCTTGGCGGCCCCCCGCTCCCCCACCAAAGTCTTCTCAGCCCGTCCCGCCCCCTGGCAGCCCAGCCCCCGCCCTCTCCCGTCGCCCCTGGGTGACTTTGGGCAGTGACTCCCTGGGCTCCCCACTCCGGGCTCGGCTCTCGCCTTCTGCCACCCAGAACCAGACGACCTGGGCTCCCCGGGCCGATCCCGGTCTCCAACGACCTGGGTCCTAGCCCTGCCTTCCCCTCCCCCACCGCGGAGCGGAGCCGCGGGCGTCGGTAGGGAGGAGTGGAATGTAGTTACGTCACAATCCCCCTCGGAACTGTCATTAGCGCCAGGAGCCTGGTGTTTGATCTTAACTACTCAGTCCCCCTGTGTTTTCATCCCCTTTCCGGTGTCTGGTCATGGCACAAATTTCCAGTTTGAAGGGAACTGGGGACTGTAGGACCTAGGTGGGAGGGGTTTCAAGCGCCCTTACTAGACTGTACCCCATCCTTAGACATTGACTTAACTAGTGATCGAGACACGTTGATAACACCTTGGTGACAATGGGGAGAATGTGTTTCCTTTAGTTTGGTATCCTCCTGGGTTTCTACTGTTCAGAAAGACTTCTGACATTTTAAATCTAAATCCTCTACCTCACATTTTAATTTCCTATGATTCTAGAACCAGTGCCTCTTAATCACTGCTCTTTGGAGTGAGATCTGCTTACCCTCTGTGGAACAGATCTCTGGAAACTGAACTTCACAGCTGGGAATCTTCCCCCAATCATCATCTGAACATGGAGTGTCCTGAGTGCCACAGGATAAATATGGGACCAAAGCCTCAGTTTTTGCTTAGTTCTCTTGAGAAAAATCCTTTTATGTTAATACACCTAGGGATGACATTTGCATAGATTTGTAAGATTATAATAGACTTCTCTCTGAAATGGTGCTTGGGTTGCCCTTGTTCTGTTGTGTTTCCAAATTCACCAGGCGTGTGCCTTCACTGCTTTCTGCCGTCAGGGTCTGTTGGTGTAAAAGTTTGAGAAATACCAGTCTGCAGCCTTGACAGATGTGCAGGAATGGACTCTGATGTCTGATTATTCAGATGTTTCAGATGTTTACTTTTCCACCTCTGTGCCTCTGGGATTGCCTCTTGGCACCTGCTGATTTTGTAGCATAACCCCAGAACTCAGAGGCAGAAGACCGGGTTTAAATTCCATTATTGTCCCCCCCCCCCCCCCTTTATTTTAAAGCCCCGTTACCTATGCATTTCTGCAGTCATTAAGGATTACAACATCTTGTCGGGTTGCTGGTGGCATTAAATCAGGTGGCGGATAGAGGAGTATATTGTAAACAACAAAGTTGGATGTGAATATGGGGGTTTACGGTTCTCACGAGTCCTACTGCTTTTCCTTGCTGCAGTTGAGAGAGTATCAGCAGAGGAACAGCCCTGGTGTTCCTGCAGGAGCGAAGAAGAAAAGGAAGATTAAAAATGGCAGTAACCCTGAGACAGCCACTGCTGATGGTTGTCACACTCCTGAGGATGTGAGTATTGGCTGGCCAGGCTTCCGGGGGCACAGGGGTACGTGAGGGGTAGTAAAGGGCAGTGATGAAGGTTGTGGAGAAAGTGTCAGGTACAGGTTTGAATCCAGCTGTCCCTCTGCTGGAGACCTGTCCCTGCTAGGGATATACTTCCACGTCAGTAAAAATTGGGGTCATTGTGGTCTGACTTACACTTGTGACACTGAAATGAGATGATTGATGTTGTTTTTGAATTTTTTTTTTTTCAACGTTTATTTATTTTTTTTGGGGACAAAGAGAGACAGAGCATGAACGGGGGAGGGGCAGAGAGAGAGGGAGACACAGAATCGGAAACAGGCTCCAGGCTCCGAGCCGTCAGCCCAGAGCCCCACGCGGGGCTCGAACTCCCGGACCGCGAGATCGTGACCTGGCTGAAGTCGGACGCTTAACCGACTGCGCCACTCAGGCGCCCCTTGATGTTGTTTTTAGAATAATCCCTTGGTATAGGGCCTTGTGCGGGGTAAACATTCAGTCGGGGTGGTGCTGTGTGACTGATGGGGTGACTTTCCTCATCCCCAGCTTCAAGGGGAAGCCAGGCAGTGCGAACAGCCATTTGCCACCACAGCCTTCCCTTAGGAAGCACCAAGAGAGGCCCAAGCACTTGGGTCAGGAGACAGTGGGTTTTGAGTCCATCTTTGCCACCTGTTGGCTGGGAGACCTCAGGAAAATCACTTCCTCCCCCGGGCCTCAGTGGCCTCATCTGTAAGATGATATTGCTGGAGCAGGTCAGTGTCTTCCAGACTTCTAGCTGGAGCCCCCTTTGTCCAAGTGAACCCTTCCCTCGGCAGTCTGGTTTTCAAAACAGAGATGAGATTCCTGTCAGATTCATCCCCGGCATCCTGGGCCTGAGGAGAGGGTCTCACGGATGTATTCAGAAAACAGCTGCATTGGGCAGGTGACTGCATTCTGTGTCACTGCATCTTTCAGGGGACTTTTCTCTCTGTGCACGTTGATTTCTGCAAGGCGCCAGGTGGCCGTTTGGGAAGGCGGCACAGGCCGTGGATTCGTTCCCGTCTCTCTTTTCCAGCATTCCATTCTCGTGACCCCATCTCTTCTTCCTTCCCTGACTCTCTCACCTCTCTCTAAGCCACTTTTCTCTCTCTCTCCCCCTGCCCTTGTCTCTCCCTTTTCGCCTCCTGTAGATTCAGGACATTCTGAAGGTGCTGGTGTCCGACCTTAACCGCTCCAATGGGGTAGCGCTCCCCCCATTGGACAAGTGGAAGGTGAGGCAGTGCCGAGCCCCCTCTCTGGCTTGCTCTTTCCCAGCTGTGCATGCTCCAAGGCTTCTCTGGTTTGGGGGATACTTTGCCTCTGGCTTATTTTATGTTGCTGTCATTAACCCTCAGCCTGTTCATGTCTGCTTTTTCACCTGCTTGGTTGATTGGGTTTGTTTTCCTTCCCCCACATCTTTTATCATCTTGGAGAAGGTGAGACATACCTTGTGGGCTCAGAGGAGCCGCTAAGGGGCATGGGGAAGGGAGTACAGGCCTAGAGGAGTCTGGAAGCTTGTATTTGCACTGAGTTCTACGATTCCGTGTCTGTATCCTGCTGTGGTCCTGGAAATGAAGACCCAGATCCTTCTTGTCTTATTATTTTTAATGTTTACTTATTTTTGAGAGAAAGAGAGAGACAGTGTGAGTGGAGGAGGGGCGGAGAGAGAGGGAGACACAGAATCCGAAGCAGGCTCCAGGCTCTGAGCTGTCAGCACAGAGCCCGATGTGGGGTTCGAACTCACGAGCTGTGAGATCATGACCCGAGCCGAAGCTTAACTGACTGAGCCACCCAGGTGCCCCTGCTTGTCGTTTTTTAAACCCTCTCTGTCTCAGTAACTGTTTCCCACTTTGATTTTCTGCTCCCGCAATGCAGGCTTGTGGTTGCAGGGTCCTGGACAGAGCTGACAGCGTTTCCAGAAATGGGGAATCATGGAGAGATTAGTTTCAATGGGACATTTGGAGGGGGTGGACAGTGTTTTTTCAATGTTTTTATTTATTTTTGGGACAGAGAGAGACAGAGCATGAACGGGGGAGGGGCAGAGAGAGAGGGAGACACAGAATCGGAAACAGGCTCCAGGCTCCGAGCCATCAGCCCAGAGCCCGACGCGGGGCTCGAACTCACGGACCGCGAGATCGTGACCTGGCTGAAGTCGGACGCTTAACCGACTGCGCCACCCAGGCGCCCCTGGACAGTGTTTTTTAAACACTCCAGACTTTAGCTACAAGACCTAACGGTGTGAAATAACCTGGTTGTTCATAGGATTGTCGTGTTATATATACTTAAGTCCTCAGAAAATTACTTTTGTCCTTTTCTGAACTTTCTTGTGTTCAGTGCTAGGGATCCATGGGAACCCAGGTTCCCTGAACAGGTTGGCATGGCAACACCAGGTTCCGGGGTCAAAGGTCACAGCACGGACAGTAAACATGCAAATGATTCATCTTCAGCTCCCCAGGCTCTGCAGCATTTGCTCTAAGGAGGGAGGTAGGGGTGGATTGTCGGAGGCCAGGGCTGATGGGTCCAGAGAGCAGCTAGCCCTGGGCCCTGCAAGAGGTATGGCCTCCTCCTGCTGGCTTCACTGGCTGGGCCTTTGCTCCCTAGTCCTCTCCCCTCATCAAACTTGAATTTGTCAGCCATCTTCCCCATCTCTTTGCTCATCTGGCCTGTAGGACATGAGATCTCTAGGGGCCAGACGCTTGGACTAAGTGTCAGGCCTGAGCCTGGAAAGAGTCTGGGTGGGGCTCTGGTCAAGCAAGTAGGTCCAGGTAGGGAAGAGGAAGTGGTTTCTCCATGGCTCCTTGTCCCTACTCCCAGGATTGTTCTCCAGGATGTCAAGAATCAGAGGGTAGACGTCTTCCCTCTGGCTTTTCGGGTTGGTTCTTGGTTTTAGAGCCAGGAGATTGGGGTGGGGGTAGTGGCCATGTTTTTCTTTTTACTTGCAGGCACAGGGTGAGGCTTCTAGTTGGGGGCAGCTGCTTTCCCAGAAAAGGCCTGAATAAGGCAAACATGGCCAGTGATTGGGGGGAGCAGCGGGGAGAGGAAAAGAGAGCAAGAGAGGAAGGAGGCAGAGGGTGGCGTTGACCACATCTCCATCACCACCACCCTCTTGCCCAGCAGGGGCCCAGGGTGAGGGTCACTCTGGCGTTCCGGAAGAGCCGTGCCTGTCTCCTCCCTGACTGGGCACACCTATCTTCCACCTGCTGTGGCTGCCAAGGTCAGAGCCTGGTACTGTCTCTTGCTGAGCTCCAGGGAGAGCAAAGCCATCATGTATTCATGAAGGAGGTCATGCATACCCTGCTTTGAGCTTTGGCCATCCAGAAGGTTGCAGAGCGGCCCTCCACGCTCCAGAGTGGCTCCCAGCATGTGCGATTGTCACTCTGACCACAGCAACCCCTGTCCTGCCCGCTCTGTACCCCTGCATCCATGGCAGCAAGGCACCTTCTTACCTGCATGGCCCCTAACCCCCTGCTCTGTTCCGTGACAGGCGCCCCAAGACCGCGCCGCTCCTGCTGCACCAACTGTTGATGACACTGTGTCACCTGGCGGTGTCCCTTCCCCCTGTGCTAGTCCCCCCCGTGTCACTAGCATGGCATCAACTCAGGTTTGTGCCCCCTCCCCCCTTGCCTGCCACCCCACTGTACGTTCGCCCCGTGCTCCTCCTCAGAGGACCGTACCTGCTTTGGGCCCTCGTCCCCTTTCTTCAGGTAGTTTGGTTTCTAGAGCCAAGCACCCTTCCCGAGGACTGAAGTGAGGGAGGCCAAGACCAGGTCTTTCCTTGAAGTTTGGGAAGATGGAAGGTTGTCAGAATGAGCTTGGCTCCCCCCCGCCCCCACCCCTGGGTGGTCTTACCAGAAATTGAGTGACTACCTCATGCATTTCTTCCCTGACAGAACCATGATGCAAAAAATGAACCTTTTCTCATGGAAGAAAGCAAGTGAGTAACTCCTATGGGGGCAGCGGTCCCTAGGCTGAGGGAGTTGGGGCGGGCCACTGCCCGTGACCCCCTCTTTCTCTTCGAGCCTCCTCCACCCCTGACTCCTGTGTTCATCCGCAGATGTCTGTCATCTACCGAGAGCCTGCGACAGCTTTCTCAGCAGCTCAATGGTCTTGTGTCTGAGGTACCCCAGAACTTGAAGCCCAAAGGGGAGTAGATGGGGAGGGAAAATATGATAGAAAGCAACAGAGGTGGAGAGAGGGAAGAGCCTGGGACCAGCTGGCCTGCTGGCTGATGTGTAGCTCGTCACAGCTCCTCTGAGTGTCCTCTTTGAAGCTCCCCGAATGAAGGGGTTGGACCTCGAGGCTGGTTACCTCGTTTGATCCTGCTGCAGAAAGCACAGAGTGAGAGCTGCCTGGGAGGGGGATGGAGGAGGGGGAGATAAGAACCAGGAGGAGTTGGTACAAAGGGGTTACTGCCAAGTTAGAAAAGTTTGCAGTTGTTGGGCAAGACAGGAAGTTGGAGAGCTTAGGCACCGAGGGGGACAGCGCGCATCTCCATGTGAGCCCTTTCGTGTCTCCTAGTCTTCATCCTACATCAATGGGGAGGGCCTGGCTACTTCTGCTAACATAAAGGATCTGGAGGTAAGTTGGCCTGGACCACGGCCCAGTGATCCTGCAGGCCAGCCCCCACCTCCTCCCACAGCGGGGGCTGGGTGCCCCTCTGCCAGCTGAGACAGCCCAGACAGCCCCCAACCCTAATGACTGCTCTCTCTACCTCTCCCCCCGCCCTCGTCCAACTCCTCCTCCTCCTCCTCCTCTGCATGCGCCTCAGAGCCGGTACCAAGAGCTATCACTAGCCCTGGACTCCAGCAATCTAACAAACAAACAACTCAGTAGCAAGATAGAGGAATTGGTAAGAGTCCAGTGGGGTCCCCTGGTTTCACGCTGCCAATCTGGGGCTCTAGTTTTCCCCTGGGGCTCTGAAGAGAGGGGCTGGGGGCCCCTGCTGCCAAGGGAGAGTGGGGTGCCGGGGGGCCTAGGTCTCAGCTGGAGGGACCCCGGAGCACGGAGCATGCAGCATGGCTCTCTGTGGCTGTCCTCTTTGCCTCATCTCTGTTCTCCAGACACCCCTGCTCGAGTCCTCTCCCCACTTGCCCCGGGGCTGTTGCCTCTGGAGGAAGCACTGGCTTGACTGGTGTGGTCTGGCCCTGACTCAGTCCCTAATTTGCTCTGTCTCTGAACTCGGACAAGTCACCTCTCCTCTGTGGGCTTCAGTTTCCTGAGGAGGTAGAATTCGAGGTGTCCGAGTCTGTCCGATTTAGCTCAGAAGATCAGGGCCCTTCATTCCCATATCCCTGCTGTTAAGAACCGAACGGGGCCTAGGCTCAGTAAATATCTGCTGAATGAGTGCACCCTTCCAAGCCACGAGCTGGCAGAAGGGTAGTCTCGTTTCTCAGCTCCCATTTTAGAGGTTTATGTCCTTGGCCTTTCATGGGTATTCTGGATTCAGACTCTCACTTGTGTAGATGTGAGGCAAATCACCCAAGACCCAAGGTCTCTTTCCTTGGGAGCTTGAGGAGAGTCTGTCAGTTCAATGTCCCCATGAACTTTCCCTTTAAAACCCATTTCTGGCCCCTGCCCATCCCTCCGTTTTGGTCTGGGGAGGGTAGTAAAAGGGGGACAGCCTCAGTTACCCTCCCTTGACTCTCTCCACAGAAACAACAGCACCAGGAAACTTTGGATCAACTGGAAAAAGTAACGTAACATGATTTGTCTGCTGATTACGTGGCGGATAGGTTTGGGGAGGATTCAGTTGTAGAGGCCCATTCTCGTCTGGGTCTGCTCCCAGCCTGGAGAAATAAAGGGCCCCCTCTTCCCGCACCCCTGCCCTACCCCTCTGCTGCCCCCCCCCCCGAACCCCACCCAGGGCCTCATTGTTGGGCCTGTCCTGGGCCATCGGTGTCATTCCAGGAGCGTGTCTTTTGCTGTTTCAACTCTGCCTCCTTCCAGTCAGGGATGTTGTGTCCTTCTTGTAGGAGAAGAAGGAGTTTGAACAGAAGCTTATGAAGGAACAGGGTTCTCTAAGGGAACAGCTACAGGTGTGTGGTGTCAAGGTCTCCCTCCCACCCCCCAGGAAACGCATCCTTTCCTCCTCTTGACTACTGCTTCCCCTTTCCTCCCAAAGGTTCACATCCAGACCATAGGGATTCTGGTGTCTGAGAAGACCGATTTGCATACAGCCTTGGTCCATACACAGCAGGCAGTCAGGCAGAAAGCAGGTAGGAGTCTAGACGCCCATGTCTCAGCCTGGCACATTGGCAGGGCTTTGGTGGGATTCCTTCCTGGGTCCCACTTCGAACTCTGTCATTCCAGGAGAGTCTGAAGATCTTGCTAGTCGCCTGCAGTCTTCCCGCCAGCGCGTAGGAGAGCTGGAGCGCACGCTGTCATCTGTCTCTACACAGCAGAAACAGGTGGACAAGGTGAGCCCAGCAGCTGACCCATCCACTGGAGGTGCAGCTACCCTCACAGGGGAATGGCCTGAAGGTCCCTTCTGTACGACGGGGTGTCTTGCTGCCCAGAAGGCAGCACGGGCCATTTCTCGCTGCTTTAAAGTTATGTGGTTATTAAAAGCAACCTGGGGCTGAGCTGGCTGACTTGAGGGAGTTGGCAGGGGTGGGAGCTGCTTTCTGGAGGGAGCACTGAATGCAGAGCCCAGAGGCTGAGAGCCAGCCCTGCCCTCCATGGGCTGTGGACCTTGGCCAGCACAGAACAGTACTTTTTTTTTTTTTAATGTTTGTTCTTGAGAAAGACACGTGCCAGTGGGGGAGGGGCAGAGAGAGAGAGAATCCCGAGCAGGTCCCAGGTGGTCATCGAGCCTGCCTTGGGGCTGGATCTCATGAACCATGAGATCATGACCTGAGCTGAAACCAAGAGTTGGATGCTTAACTGATGCAGCCACCCAGGTGCCCCTAGAACGGTACTTTTAGTGTGCTACCATTTGTACAGGAAGGGGAGAAGGGTGTGTGTGCTAGACACGAAGTGTGTGAAAGGATGTATAAATACCCAGGGAGAGAAACAGAGTAGCTGGGAGGCATGTCACCTCTGTCCTTCTGGGTGGTGGGCTGTGTGAACAGACCATCCATTAAAAAAAAGGGACAGAGATCACGATGCAAACTCACTTCCCCTCCTTGTGTCTGCTCCCCCACCCCAGGGGGAAAATGGGTGAAGAATCAGATGTTTAATCCCAGCTCTGTCTCGGTGACGACTTAACTTGTGCTACTCTGTGGTGTTCACCTGTAAAACAGACATGCACCCATGCCTCCCCCAGGCGGTGATCGCGGGGATTCAGTGCGATTGTTAGCTCGGCGCCCAGTAAAGTGCCCAGTAAAGGTTCAGAAGTGCTGGTGCCGCTAGTAATAATGATGTCAATCCTATCTGCCCTGTGTGGGCCTCTGCTAGCCAGCTGTGGCTCTGTCCCACCCTTACCAAGTTCTTAGCTGAGGCACGTGAGAACATGGGCTTGGGAATGCTTTGAACAAAATGTCAAGGGCGAAGCACAGCTCTAGAGGAGTCCCTGTGCTGCCATTAGTCCTTGAGACGCACCTTCTGCCTGCCCGATCCTGACCTCGCCTTTCTGTGTTTGCAGCACAACAAGGACTTGACCAAAGAGCGAGATGCCCTCAAACTGGAATTATACAAGAACAAGTAGGATGGCTGGGGGCTGGGAAGTGGGAGGGGGACAGGAACATGGGCGGGGGGGGGGGGCAGATGGGTTAGGACAGATGCAGAGCCAGGCTCTGGGCCCAGCTGTGCAATCAACACAGGCCGTGGCCTCAGGCCGCTCCTGTCTTCTCTCTGGCCTGCCACTTGTGACTCCTGATCCCCGGGTCCCTTCCGACGCCACTGTTCTGTGGCTCTGTGGTGAGGGTGGGGTGGATCACCAGAGCGCTCTTTTCTGTTCTTTACTCGTACCTTTCTTTGCTGCCCGTGGCTACAGCAAAGACAACGAGGACCTAAAGGAGCATAACTCGGAGCTGGAAGAGAGGCTGCGTGTCTGTATGAAAGAGAAGGAGGCCCTGCAGCTTGGGGTGCAGGAGCTGGAGAAGAAGCTGGAGATGTCGGAGCTCCTGTTGCAGCAGGTAAGGCCAGAGTCCCAGGGAGTTGGGGCCCCATCCATCTGGGGCCGCCGTCTCCAGCCAGGAGCTGGAAGATTTGCATTCTCGTTCTGCTCCTGCCATAGAATCCTGCTGCAGACATTGATAAAGCATCTACAAATCGGGCCCCGCCCAGACCTGTGGAATTAGAATCTCAGGGATGGGGCTTTTTTATTTTTGCTTTTTTTTAAAGCGCCCCGGTTGAAAACCATTGTCGTATAGATGATAGTTCCGAGTCATGACACATAACAAGGCAGTTCTAGCTCATGCGTCTGTCTGCTTCCTCTCGGAGGCCGGGCCACCAGGTCGTCAGGGTGCCTGGGTCAGAGAGCTTCCCCTTGTCAGTGCTTCTTCACACTGAGTAACACTCAGCCTTCATGTCACTTCCTTCGGCAAGGCTCTTCCTTCCAGATCAGCACAGGAAAAATCTTGCCTCTTGCCCAAGACAGACCCTCAGATACTCTGAGAAGGAGTGTGCGTAGGTTCCTTGTCCTCCCTGAGATCTTTTCCTACCGAAACAGCCCCAACTGTTTCTCCCACGGTCTGTCACCCTCCTGATTGCTTTCTTCTGGATGGGATCTGAATTGTCAGGGCTCCTCTTACAGTCAGTCTTCCAGAGCAAAACATGAGTCTGCAGATTCGGCCTGGCCTGGGCAGCATACAGAGCTCTGTATCCATCCATCCACCCATCCATCCACCCAGTACGACTGGAATGCCTCCTTTGTGCCCATTCCTGTGATGGGCAGTCTAACAAATGGCCTGCTGGAGATAGAAAAAGTGAGGGCTTATGCTTGCTCTGGAGTTGATGGATGCCTGTCCTCTGTGACCTGAACACCCCATCTCTGGGACAAGCACCACTCTGTAGCCTTAATCATTATAGCCAGAAAGGATCTGGAAGGATGAACACCAGGTTGATGGGCCTGGGAGGCAGAGGGCCACTTACAGTGAATATTCAGTAAACATGAGGCTTGCGGACGTAGTACTAATGACGTGAGGGTGGACCTCTTCATCGATGTGGATGCACGTTATCCTAGCGCACACCCGTTTGCAGGAACCTGCATAGAGCAGCCTGGTTTCCCAACGCTAACCTTCTCGTTTTCTACTCTCCAGTTTTCTAGTGGGTCTAAACCCCCCGACAGCAACCAACAGTTACAGCAGGCCCTGGAAGAACGGGCACGGCTGGAGACACGTGTGGGGCAGGTGAGGCCTTGCAGGGCGAGGGGTGTGGAAGCAGGATGATCTCAGGCAAGCAGGAGCTGGTGAGGCCCCGTGGCTGCCCCTGCTAACCTCTGTGCCCGTTCTTGCAGCTGAAAGACACCCTCAAGCATATGCAGCTGGAGAGAGACAAGTACGTAGAGAATCTGAAAGAGGATAATGCCTTTTGGCAGGAAAGGATGAAACAGATGTCTGAAAAGGTAAGGTGTGACCTTCAGCCCCCCCACCTTAGGTCATTTGATCTTTCGGGGCGTCAGTAAAATGGGAAGCCTGTCACTTGCTGTGTGCAGCGAGAGGTGGCTGGGTGGTTTTTGCGGGGGCGGTGGGGGTGGGGTGGGTGGAGAGGGCGACGGTTGCCTGGCCGTCCCTCCCTCCGCAGCCCCCACATGCCCATCCCTCCCTCCGCACCCCCCACATGTCCATCCCTTCTGTGCTCTGGGCAGATGCAGCAGTTGAAGGAAGAGAAGGAGCACAGCGTGAGTCAGGTGCAGGAGCTGGAGGCCAGCTTGGCTGAACTGAAGAAACAGATAGGTAAGCTGGGGCCGGAGTGGTAGGGGAACAGGATTGGTGTCAGAGGGCCAGTGAGGATGCCTTCGAATGCTCTAGGAAGGCGGACAGATGGAAGGGCACTGTGGCCAAGGGAAGGAGGTCTGGACCAGGAGTTGGCATATCTGGGTTGAGTGCCCACTGTCAACTACCCAGAGTTGTCTTGAGCATAAAAACGTGAAGAACTCTATTCATAAGTGTCTGGAAAGATTGCACGTCCTGTGAGTGTGAGGGATTTTTGGGGTGGGGAAGCCCAGTTGGGAGCAGTGGACCAAGGGGCGCCTGGCTGGCTCAGTCGGTAGAGCGTGCGACTCTCGATTTTGGGGTCGTGAGTTCCAGCCCCTTGTTGGGCATGGAGCCTCCTTTATTTATTTATTTATTTATTTATTTTTATGTTTATCCATTTTTGAAAGAGAGAGACAAAGCACAGGCAGGGGTGGGGCGAAGAGAGGGGGGACACAGAACCCCAAGCAGCCTCCAGGCTCTGAGCTGTCAGTACAGAGCCCGACACGGGGCTCGAACTCACGAACCGTGAGATCATGACCTGAGCTGAAGTCGGACGCTCGACCGACTGAGACACTCAGGCGCCCCGTGGAGCCTCCTTTAAAAAAGAAAAAAAAAAACCCAAAACTAGGAGCTGCGGACCAGAAAGAGGGGTTTTTTGAAGGCACAGGGATAAGAAGCCTCTACCATGTGCCCCCCGCAGAGGTCCCCCCAGCCCAGGAACCTCCAGCAGGGCCCTCGGAGGTGGAAGAGCGACTGCAGGCGGAGGCTGAACAACTGCACAAGGAGCTGGAGAACCTGGCAGGGCAGCTGCGGGCCCAGGTGCAGGACAACGAAGGTCTGAGCCGCCTGAACTGGGAGCAGGAGCAGCGGCTGCTGGAGCTGGAGCGGGCCGCCGAGTGCTGGGGGGAGCAGGCTGAGGAGCGCAAGCAGATTCTGGAAACCATGCAGAATGACCGTACCACCATCAGCCGTGCGCTGTCCCAGAACCGTGAGCTCAAGGAGCAGCTGGCTGAGCTGCAGAATGGCTTCGTCAGGCTGGTGCGCAGCCCTTCCTCCCTGGCTGAGTTCTTTGGTGCTGGGCAAGACTCTTGACCTCTCCGGGCCTTTGTCTCCCCGCCTGTAACATGGGGCCGGTGGGGGGCGGGGTACGGACCTGACGTGAAATGGTGCCAATCACGGCACCTGTGAGCGCAGATGAGTGGGGTGGGGGGATTTTCCCACCTGCCTCCACCTTTCCCTGAGCTGTGGGAGGCAGACACCAAGCTCTGGGGTCTCCAACCACACTGGGTAGCCGCCGATTCCTTCTCTTCGTCCAGAGCAACGAGAATATGGAGATTACCAGCGCGCTGCAGTCGGAGCAGCATGTCAAGAAGGAGCTGGCCAAGAAGGTGGGCCAGCTGCAGGAGAAGCTGGCGGAGCTGAAGGAGACGGTAACCCCTGCGTCAGCTGCGGAGGCCCCGGGGGCGGGGGAGTGGGGGGTGCGGGGGGCGTGGCCGGGACCCGCGGTTCCAGCCTGGGGTTGGTGGCGGGGGCATGTGACTCCAGAGTCCTTCTGAGCACAGCTCCTCGTGGCTCCTTGCTCCTGACTCTGAGAAGTGGGTAGCCCTGGGCCGAAGGTCATCATTCCAGCTAGAGCCTTCAAGCCCCCAGTGAGGGGGGAAAGCTTCTTGGACTCAGCTGTGGCTTCTGACCCCAGTGGTCACTCTTCACTTCTCATCTCTCAGCCTCAGTTTCCTTAATCTAGAAGGGAGATGACCCTTTTGCTCACAGAGGTGTCGAGGGTTAAATGACAACCATGCCCTTGGGGGGGGGGGCCCGCGTTTTGATTTTCCACTAAAGTTAAAATGGAAAGAAAGTTGTCAGGAGGTGTGAGGCTGGGTGAGGGAGGCGTGGGGCTCTGCGCCAAGGGGCAGTCACTTAGGTCCCAGAGTGAAGGAGCCAGGCCCCACCCCCCCCCAACCGCCCACGGCAGGGCGGCAGAAAGAGCGGTTGCCCCTACCTCCCCGGTCCCGGCTCCGAATCTGCAGGCCGCCACCTGCCTCACTCCCAGGGTCTTCCCGCAGGTGGAGCTGAAGAGCCAGGAGGCCGAGAGCCTGCAGCAGCAGCGAGACCAGTACGTGAGCCACCTGCAGCAGTACGTGGCGGCCTATCAGCAGCACGTGGCCGCCTTTCAGCAGCTGGCCTCCGACAAGGAGATGCTGCAAAAGCAGGTGCTGCTGCAGACGCAGCTCATGGACCGGCTGCAGCACGAGGAAGTTCAGGGCAAGGTGGAGGCCGAGATGGCCCGCCAAGAGTTACAGGAGACCCAGGTGAGGGGCTTGGAGCGCCGGGCCCCCGGGGAGGGCCTGCGGCCTGTATCCCTTCTCACTCCTTCCTGGCCCCTCAGGGACGCCTGGAAGCTGCCACCCAGCAGAACCAGCAGCTCCAGGCGCAGCTGAACCTCATGGCTATGCCTGAGGAAGGTAAGCGGGACCTGCCCAGGGAAGAGGACGGAGCCCAAGGAGGAGGTGGGGGGACTTCAGGGCGGCGAATCCTCCTCCTCCTCCGGGGACGCCCTGGCCCAAGGTCGCTCTGGGAGGTGGGGCAGGGCCGGCTTTCCTCCCCCGCCCGCTCCACCTCCCCCGCCCGCTCCACCTCCCCCGTTGGGTTGTCTGAGGCCCCTCCGGCTGCCTCGACAGGAGACGGACTGGACGGTGAGGAGAAGGACGGGGAGGCAGCCCCGCCAAAGCTGAGCATGCCGGAGGACCTAGATAGCCGCGAGGCCATGGTGAGCGGCCCTTCCCCGTCCCACCTTCCCGCTTCCCTCTGGGGTCCCCCGCCACCCGTCTCTCTTGGTTTGCCCCCCCCTCGGCTTCTCTTGACCCCCAACCTCCCCCGGGAGCCGGTGGTCCGGCCTTGCGCCATCCTCGAAACACCAGGTGTGCCCACCGAGGCAGTGAGAGGAGCTCCTCTCTGCCTCCCCGGCCCCAGCTCGTCCCGAGCTTCCCCCACAAAGGCGCACGCGTACACGTCTTGCCCGCAGGTGGCATTTTGTAACTCGGCCCTAGCCATTGCCGAGGAGGAGCAGGCGCGGCTGCGCGGGCAGCTGAAGGAGCAGAGGCTGCGCTGCAAGCACCTGGCTCGCCTGGTGGCCCCTGGGACCACCGAGGACAGCGTGCCTGGGGAGACCCACCAGGCCCTCCAGGTGGCCATGGACAAGCTGCAGGTGAGTGAATCGGCTCCGGCACGGCCCCGGCGGGGGGCGGAGATGGCTAGGGAGGGCTGCCGAGCCCTGATCCCGCTGCTGTGGCCGCAGAGCCGCTTCCTGGAGCTCATGCAGGAGAAAGTGGATCTGAAGGAGCGGGTGGAGGACCTGGAGCATCGCTGCATCCAGCTTTCTGGAGAGACGGACACCATAGGTGAGCGGGCTGGCCAGCCCCCAGGGTCGGGGGAGCTCCGTGAGGGCTCGCAGAGCCTGAGCGTCAGCCGGTCTGCCCCGCAGGAGAGTACATTACCCTCTACCAGAATCAGAGGGCCGTGCTAAAAGAGCGGCACCGGGAGAAAGAGGAGTACATTAGCCGACTGGCTCAGGACAAAGAAGAAATGAAGGTGGGCCCTCAGCGTCCCCGGGAGCAGAGAGGGGGCGGGGTGGTGCCGGGGTAGAGCTGGGGCTCAGCACCTCTCCCTCCAGGTGAAGCTACTGGAGCTGCAGGAGCTGGTGCTCCGTCTGGTGGACGAGCGAAATGAATGGCAGGGCAAGTTCCTGGCCACTGCCCAGAACCCTGCTGGGGAACCCACTACGGCACCCCCAGCCCAAGAGCTTGGCGCTGCCAGTGGCCGGGGTGGTGAGTAGAGCCCGCGGGTGGGCGGGTGGGTGGGCGGTGGGGGAGGGCTTGCACAGCGCTCAGGGCCCCGCCCCTTTCTCTCCCCGAAGATGATCTTCGAGAAGTGAGCCTGGCCGACAGTGACAGTGCGGAGCCTCCCCAGGGAGAGGCCCTGTCACGCCACACTGGAGCTGAGAACCCCACCGCTCAGCAGATCATGCAGCTGCTGTGTGAGATCCAGAACCCCCGAGAACGCCCAGGCTTGGGCAACAACCCCTGTGTCCCCTTCTTCTACCGGGCCGATGAAAATGATGAGGTGAAGATCACGGTGGTCTAGAAGTTAACACTAGCACACAAAGCCTAGACAAGTGGGGCTGGGGGCTCTGCCTCCAGCCTGTCCCTACCACCCTATCATTCCTTCCCGACCACGCTTTTATCCTTAGACTACCAAGATAAGGCCCTCGAGAGGGGTATGATGAACCCCCTAACGAGGGAGACAAATATGTGCAGACCCCTTGCCACCTTGGCAACGGCTGTATCTTTATCTCTGGGCTGTTCACAGTTCCAGAAAAACAAAGAGCCAGAGGCTCAATAAATATAGTTTATTTAGGAGGTTGCCTCTTTTGGGGAGCAGGGGCTCCCTGGTGGCCTCCTCGCCCCCATCAGGTAGTCCTTCATTCAGAGGGGCTCATGCATCTTCTCTTCAGAGGCACTTTGGGGCACAAGTGGCCCCCACACTGTCCAGTTAGGTGACTGGGCAGCACTCTCCCAGGCCTTGGGATGTCAGGGCTAACTGAGGCCAAGCAAAGGCGTAAGCTGGTGGCGGGGTGGGCTCCTCCCCAGCTCCCTCCCCAGTGTACATACTTATCTGTGTAACATTTTGTATATTCTGGGGATAGGGCAGCCCCTGTACCATAGCAGAGGTTTGAACTGGCAAATGGGGAGAAACTTCTATTAAATATTTGAATATAGGGAAACTTATTTATTGATAGCATAGGACAGAGAGGAAGGGGGTGGGGACAGGGTCCTGCAGGGGTAATTCGACTCCTGTTTTGCTTTTTATCTCAGAATAAATGGATTTAGCCATACTGCTTGGCCTCGTGTGTGCCTCTTTTCCAGTCACCGGTCACTAGGTCCTGGGGTCTGTGCTGTGGGTGCTGAACAGGGAGCAGGTCCTGCCAGCAGAGGGCAGGCTTCTGGATTGTGCAAAGCCCCGCTGTGTCTGAACCTGCCCAAAGGAGCTGTTAGAGACGGTCCAGCCCTGTCGCCCTCCTGCTGCTTGGGGAAGCCTGGGGGATCTCAGGGGGACTCGAAGGTGGGGGGGGGGGGCTCCTGCCCTAATGGCCAAGAGGCTCAGAAGCCTGATCCAATCCTGGGGAGGGGCAAGCAAGGTCCCAGCACTCAAGAGTGCCGACTTCCAGGTCAGGCAGTTTCTGTGGCGTCACCCTGCCCCTCTGGTGGCCTGTTGTCCCGTCCCTCCATAGTGCGTGCCAGTGCCCCCAGTCCTCCCTCCAGGCTGAGTTAGTGGCCCTGCCCCCCTAGTGGGCAGAGCAGGCTTCCTAGAATAAGGACCTGTGAGTCCCCCGGTGCTTTCCCAGTAGGCCTGGGAAAGGGTGAGGCCTTTCTTTGCCACTCCTCACAGCACACTAGCAATGGCTGGGCCCTTCCCCACCCCTGCATCCCAGGGTTTAAGCCTTCAACTTCTCCTGAACTCCACAAAGAACACAAGCCGACAGAGGACAGTTTCCCATTGTCCAGAAATGGGTTTTATTCTCAGCCAAGAGACAGCAAGACTGGTGGTAGTCAGGGAACCACACAGCTGCCAGTATGGCACCCCCGTGCTCGACTGGGGGAGGGACGGAAAGGTGGCTGTCCACGGGCTGGGCATGATGGGGAGGCTCATCAGAGGTGGCACACGCTGGAGAGGGGGATGTCAGGGTGACAGTGTTCCCTTGTAGTTGGGCCACAAGACTCCTCAGGGACAGCATGGTGATTGATTCCCAACACTAGCGGCGAGGCTGTGGCGGCCGTGTGTGTGTGTGTGTGTGTGTGTGTGTGTATGTATATATATATGAATATTTATAGATATTTATAGAATGGGGTAGGAGCAATACCACAGAGGGGGCACAAGTTTTCACCAACATCACGCCTGGATGTGTCAGCTCACCACTACAACAGACTAAGTCACAGACGAAGGGGGAGGCTTTGGGGCTGGGGAGCCACTGTCAAGTCACAGAACAGCCGTCCAGGCAGGCTTGGAAAGGGAGGTCTCCGAGGAACAGAGGGATCTGGTTAGAGGTCGAAGGGGGGCCTGGGGCTCTCAGGACGGGATGGACTTGCCTGACCCGATCGGCTGGCAGTTGGAGAGAAAGCAAAGAGAGAACGGAGAGAAGGAGGGAGAGAACTGGTAAGGCAAGCAATGCCAAGCCCGGTGGGGCAGGAGGGGAGGGCAGGGCGAGAAAAGGAAGCTGCGGGTGTGGGCAAGGGTTCTGGAATGGAGGAGAGAGATGAGAAAGGGAAGGTGGGAGAACTGGAGATGAATGGGGGCCACAGCTTCCCCAGGGTCTGGGGTGGAGGTCAAGGCAGCCCCCCCCCCCCCCCCACTGCCACGCACGCTGGTCTCTCATACACCACCAGGCAGTGCACCCACAGCTCCAGACACATGCTCGGCCCCTCTGCCTTCCCTCTTTTTGTGGCCCCCTTGTCTTCCAACGTACTGGCCCAGGGCCACCCCTAGCCTTGGAGTGTGGGGCCGCGTGCCCCGTGGCCACAGCTACCAGTCCTCATGGAGAGAGACAGGAGAAAGAACACTGTTTGAGCCAGGAGGGCGAAGCTAAAAGGATGGCTGGAGGGGGCACTGGATACCCCTCTGGGCGGGCAGAAAGCCCGGAGTCCTCGGAAGGGACCCTGGGGAGGCAGGGAGGTCAGGCAGCCGGATGCCAGTTGGCCACAGGCTTATAAGTCTAAGAGGGGAGCCTCAGCTGGTCGGGGGACCACAGGTCGCGTAGGTGAGGCTGGGCCCTTCCTGCTGGGGAAAAGCAGAAGAGCAAGAGTCAGCGGCAGGGGCAGAGTGACAGGCGGGTCGCTGGGTGAATGTGCGGCCCAGACAGGGTGGGACTCGGAGAAGTTGACTAGGCTCAGGTCAGTGGACACTGTTGTCCCCTTGGCTGAAAAGTGTAGGTCACCCCTAGGAGCAACAGGCCCAAGCCCATGAGCCCGTGGACGGGCTATGGTGCTTTGTCTAGGGCCGAGGACGCTGTGGTTTGTAGTGTGCCTTCACAGGCGTGACAACACCAAGGAGGTAGGGGAAGGGGCCGTGTGACCCTGCCTCACCTGTGAGGTGTGGACAGGGCCCTCCAGCTTTCAGAAATCAGCACATAACCAGAGCCTTGGCCCCAGACTGCTGCTCAATCGCTGGCTATCTGATAGAGGAGATGGGGCTCTGACTTCCTCTGCCCTACCGTGGATTCGGTTCCCAGAGCTCCTTGCCCCAACAGCACAGCTCAGATGGGGGAATGAGCGTGGCATCCCCAGGATGAAGTTCCAAGGCCTCTGGCTGTCTGAGTCCAGCCCCATGCACAACGATGCCCGCCCCCTCCGAGTTCCCTGCCTCTACACCATAAACCGTGAGCTCTCTGCCCTCCCTGACGGCTCCAGAGAGCACCCATGTCTGCCAGCCTGGGTGCGGAGCCTGTCCCAAGAGCTCCCCAGGCTCAGCCATGGAGGTCTTGAGCAGTGGCACTGAGTCCCGAGGCTCGCTGAGAAGGGAGGTGAGAGAGCCAGCTGGCAGCAAGGACAGAAAGAGGAAAGAATAAGTCTGGAGCTGCAGAAGGGAGAGGGAGGGGAGCCTGGCTCTGAGGTCCCGGGTGCGCCCCCCAATGTGGAGCTGGTGCAGCGGGGGGCAGACACACCGTTCATGCAGCAGGCAGAGAGGCATGTATGTACCTACCGTGGCTGACGCTCCTCAGGGGTCACTGATAGTGATTCTGAAAGACAGCACGAAATCAACATGGCAGTTCACACGCACGGACGGGGCAGGCCCGGGGGGTGGGGTCACGCACACGCACACGCCCGGGCGTGCACACACATGCTGTGAGGCCCCCTGGCCCCGCATGCGCACGCTGACACATGCCCACAAACAACACGCACACGTACACACCTCCCTCCCTCGCCTCCCGCTGCCCAGCACCCTCACTGGCCGGCACGTGCAGCACGGATCCGGGGCATGCAGCCACTCGGCACATTGAAGCACACGCGCGGGCTGAGTCACAACACAGAAGCTCGCCCGGACACAGGAGGCGTTTGCACCAGCTCCCTGCACACTCGTGCCTGGCGTGCTCAGAGGGCCACCTGCAGTGCTCCGTAAGGGACAGGTCTTGCTTTCTCAGGGTCCAGCTGTCATTTCTCTGCCCAAGAACCTCCCAGGGCTCCCTACTCCCCACAGCATTGAGCCTCAAGAAGACAAACTTCTGTGAACTTTTAAGGTTTTGCAGCCTGCCCCACTGTACTCAGGGCAACCTTTTCTTATTCTTCCTCATTCCGTCTGCACTCTCCTCTGGCCAGCGGCTCTCCTCAATGCATCCCCACTAAACCTTCGCCCACACTACCGCTCCATACCCAGATGCCCCTGACTTCTCACCACCTGAGTCTCATCCCAGTCAGCCCCCGGACCTCCCCCATGTCAAGCTGTCTTGAAGCTTCCCAGACTGTTCTCTTCCCCGAGGCAGGGCCGTGACTTGCCAAGTGTTTCCTGTGTGTTGGCAAGACTGGGGTTAGAGCAGGTGCCAGATCTTTCCTCTTTCCCTATGTCACACCTCAGCGCGCACCTGGGCGTGCCAAATTCCCTTAAGAATCTGAACACCCAGGGAAGTTAGCAAAGTGTTCCTACAGCCACATTTGCACTTCATGCGGCTTCTCTACAGTCACTGTCTCTCTCCCTCCATCTTCACGCCAACCCTGGGAGAAAGACAGAATGTTAAGTATCATGTGGTAGAAGGGACACTGAGGCCCTGGGAGGGAAAGTGACTTGCTTACAAGCACGGGGTTAACCAGAACCTCTGGGCTCCAGTCCAGCGCTCTTGACCAATACCATGCTGCCTGCTTTACCCATCTGCTTTGGTCATCAGAGCACCGTGGAAGCAAGTCCCATCTCTGCTTCATCTGGGGTTCATGGAAACTAGACCCATGAAGGCTAGGTCCTACCCTCCAGCCATCTGGAAACACAGGTGGATGCTATTGGTCTGATGTGCTCTTCCTCAGAGAATGTGGCCAGTGGAAACACGGACTGAGATATCAGAACGAGCTTCCTTGAAAAAGGGTCATGAATCGAGAAGGCAAAGCCAAGGGATGAAGTAGAATTCTTTTCCCTGGAAATCTCTGGGAACGGGGCAGCCTTTCACCCACTGCTGCCCCCCACCCACCATGTTGGTCCAGGCCAGGTAGGGGCAGGGGGAAAAAAGAAAGCCATTAGATTGCCCCGTCCCTCCCAGTCCCCTTTCCCAGCTGCTCGGCGTCCTAGCCCCGTGCCTGAGTGCCATTCTTACGCTCACACCCGTGTGCACGCCCACACACACATCACACACACCTTGCTGGTCACAGTCACAGCCTGGCCTCTGTTGCTGTGGGCCAGAGGCCAGACACCCCTCTTGGGACAATTCAGAGTCAGGACTCAGAAGGGGGGCATCAGAGTAGCCCTGAGGGTAAGTGAACAAACTCCACATCTGGAGAAGATCGGAGTTCAAATCCCCAGACGTGAGGTGGGTCACTCGGGGCTGGGAGAGAGAAGTGGAGGACGGAATGGAGAAGGCGGAGAGCGAGGAGAAAGGAGGAGGTAGGCAACAGTGGGAGAGAGAAGTGAAAAGGGAGGGAAGCGCCATGCAAGTGCTGGAAAGAAGGGGGCAGGTGGGATGAGTCCCACGGCCCCCTCCGCAGAAACGACGACCTCCGGGACTCAGCGCTCCCTGGGGGGGGGGGGGGGGCAGGCTCCGCCAGCCCTCGGCCACACCTCCCGTAGCTCTGGCACCCACGTCCGAAGCGCCCCGGATGGAGGGGGTCGGCTCTGGCCCCACCTCCCTCCCGGCCACGCCCGCCCGGTGGTCTCTTCCGACGCTTTCAGCCCCTACTCACCTGGGGACCCCGGGCGGGGCGCGGTTGGGGCGCGAGGGCACCTGGGGGGGAGGACCGAAGGGGTCAGGGGAAGCCCCCGGCCTGGAGGGCACGGGGGGCGCCCCCCCCCAGGGCGGACCCAGCAGGCGGAGGCCCAGGAGCAGGGCCCCGCGACCCGGGCCGGGCTGGGGGCACGGCGGGGGCTCGGCGCTGCGGAGTGGGGCTGGACGTGGGTGACCTGCGGGCGACAGGGTGCGGAAGACAAGGAAGGGAGAGGTGAGCAGCTCCGCCCCACCCTGAGCCCCGCCCCCAGCCCCGTGCCGGTCACGCCCATGCGCGCAAGCCCCGCCTCGCCCCGCCCTACTCGTTCCCGGAGTTTAAGGCCCGCCTCCGGTGGCTCTAAAGTTCCAGCTCCACCCAGCCCCGCAGCCAGCGCTTCACGGCAAGCCCCGCCCCGCAACAAGCCCCGCCCATTTCTAAGCCCCGCCCCCTGCTCCAGGTGGGAGCCGCTCCGGCGACGCGGGCGCGCCACTGCCCGGTCCCGGCCCTCCTCCCGCGGGCCCCGGGCTGGGGGGCTTTGGGGCCGTGGGGGCCGGCCCTGGTACCTGCGTCCGGCCGGTACGCTCTGCACCTGCAGCCAGGAGTCGTCCACAGGCGGGGGCATGGGCGTGCTGACAGTGGTCGTGTTGATGTCGCCGATGATGCTGAGCGCCTCCTTCAGTGCGTGGTACATGCGCAGCATCTCGTCGCGCCGCTGCGCCTGCTCCGCCGACTCCTCCATCAGTGTGTTCTGGTCCCCGCACGAGTACAGGTTGGCCAGCAGCTCCGAGAAGATGAATTCCTTCGTCTGCGGGCGAGGAAGCGAAGAGAGGACAGGCTGGGCTCTGACGCCTGTACCACACTGACTGCGCCGTGGTGTGTGCGCTGGACTGAGAACTCGGGGCCGGGGGAGAGGGAAGTGTCCTGGCTTTGCCGCCCCCTGAACTCGGAGATCTCCCCCGCCCGCCACTTCTCCGTCTCCGTCCTTGCTCTTTCCTCAGATAGTCCAGAGAGGAAAAGTGACCTGTTCCAAGTCATAGATTGGGGAGCGCTCCCAGGGCCTATCATGCAACCAGGACACCTAGCTGTTCAGCTTTGTTTCGGTCTCAGTTTCCCCATCTGTAAAATGGGGCATTTGCACCCTGTCCAAGGACTTGCATGCTCCACTGGGCCAAAATAAGGTGGATGACAGTTTAAATTTTCTGAGCCCTTGAGTGACAGGTGTAAATGTGTGTTTGGATTGGATGAAATGTGTCTGTGTGTGTAGGGGGTTGGGGGGGGGAAGTTAATGTTCTCCTTAAACTCCGCAGGTGCTACCTGGCCCAGGCTCTGGGATATTCACGGAGAGGCACTGAGGTTTTTTATGCCACAGGCCTGTGTCTTACTTACTCGTTCGTTATTCAGTGATGTGCTGAGAACCTACTATGTGCCAGGCACTGCGTTACTCTGTTCTTTTTATCCCTTTAATTCTCAACTCTGTTATTATCCATATTTTACATACAAGGGAGCAGAGGCTCAGAAAGGGTAGTTTACTGAAAGTCAAACAGAATTTGTGGCAAAGCCAGGATTCAAACACAGTACTAATTCTCTGGCAGCCATGCTTTTTTTCACTAAGCCATGGATGGTAGTGGTTCTCTGGGGTATGTATTTTTTTTTTCCACGTTTATTTATTTTTGGGACAGAGAGAGACAGAGCATGAACGGGGGAGGGGCAGAGAGAGAGGGAGACACAGAATCGGAAACAGGCTCCAGGCTCTGAGCCATCAGCCCAGAGCCTGACGCGGGGCTTGAACTCACGGACCGCGAGATCGTGACCCGGGCTGAAGTCGGACGCTTAACCGACTGCGCCACCCATGCGCCCCCTCTGGGGTATGTATTTTAAAACACAGTCTGGGACTTCTCAAAAGATGTGATTCCCAGTCCCTTTTGGAAAACATTTAAGAACATTTGTAGTGACTTGGATATGTGAATCTACAAAATAATACAAGGAACTCACATTTTATTTCTTTTGGACAGCTCTGGCGTGGCCCTATACCTACCTCTCTAGACCTGGTCCCATGGGACTGGCCTGTGCCTCCCCGGGGCCAACCTGGCTGCTGCTTCCCTGGTCCCAAAAGAGCACCCACTGCCCACGAAGCGTTGCACCCACATTGTTGATCATGAGATGCATGATGGTCTTCGGCATGAGGTCCCTCACGGTCTTGTTAACGATGGCCATGTACGAGTCCACCAGGTTCCGGATGGTCTCCACCTGCCGCTCTAGCTGTGGGTCCATGGAGTGCATGAAGTTGTCCGAACCATTCTCCTCAGTCTCGCTGGCCTGCCATTGAGAATAGAGGGCATTAGGGTGGCTGGGCTCTCGCAGCCAAGTTCTAGGCGCCCCCAGGGGCTTGGCCCCTCCCTCCAAGGGTGGCCTGGAACACTGAGGCGCACAGAACAAATGGCCTGCACACACAAATGCCAACTCCCCCAAACGCTCTGCATCTGGGCTCTGCCCAGTGCCTCCGAAGACCCCAGACCCTGTTCAGTCTTATCTCGGCTCTCAGTCTAGTGCCTAGAATTTGCCTCAGTTTCCCAGTCCATCGATTAGGAAAGGCTTTCCAAGGTCCCTTCCTGATTCTAAAGACCTGGCCGGAGCTTCGGCCAGGCTGGAGACACCTGGCTGAAGGCGAGGGAGGGGCACACTCACTTTCTCCTTGTCCTGGGAGGCCCACGCCAAAGCCACAGAGGTCACGCCGCCAGCATTGCCACCGCCGCCGCCACCAGCAAGCAGAGCCGGAGCAGACACACACACAGAGGAGAAGGGGAGTGAACTCAGGGCGCCCTACCCCCACTCTAAAGCAACTCTAGACATCAGGGAAAGAGAGGAGGAAAGTGGAGTAGCCACAAGAAACCACCATTATATGCAGGGGATGCGCGAAATGCCAACGGGGCAGAGGAGGGGCCAGAGGAGGGTCACGTAAAACCAGCATTGGAGGACGGGAGGAAGGCTTAACTCTGACCCCGCCCCAGGACAGGTAGGGGGGGCATCTGTGCCCGTAAGGGCCCGTAAGGGCTGAGGCTGGTGACCCAGGTGGCTTGGCCCCCTCCCGGCACTACCACTCACCCCAACGCGCTCCGGATACACGCCAGCCCTCAGGAAGGAGGCCTTCCAGCTGTCCACCTCCTCCTGTGTCTCACAGGCCAGTTCCAGCTGCCGATAATCCTTGTAGACATTCCTGCAAGGGCAGGCAGGGAGGGGAAAAGGCATGAAACCCACTCACCCAGGTGGTTAAGGGCATGCATGGATGGGGGGGGGGGGGCGCAGTCATCATGCCTGGGGTCCAGTCCTGGCTCTCTCACTTCCCAGCTGTGTGACCCTGGGCAATCCTCCTGTCTCCAAGCTTCAGTTTCCTTGTCTAGAAGATGGGTTAATAATGACTCCTACCTCCCTGGGTCACTGTCAGGATTCAGTGAAACCAGCAGTACGATGCTCTAAGAAAAAGGGGGACTGAGCCCCTCATAAGAGGGACATCCCTGACCAGGCAGCCCCCAGTGGCTCCCTCCCTGGCCCTCTGGGGACCTCCCTGATGGCAACTGTACTGAACCCTCATCTCGAGGGAGGTGAAGCCCACAGGAATCAGCCCTGGCTTGGGAGGGGAGAGACCCGGTATTGTCACGGACCCCACTGGACACTGAACAACAAGAAGGGGACCAGGCCTGATGGGCTTTTCTTCGTCCCCAGTGCCCGGCAGAGTCTATGCAGAACAGGCACTAACCCACTAACCGAATGACTGGAAGGTGGGGGGGGGGGGGGGGCGGCGGAAGGGGGAAGGAGATTTTGATATGAAGTCCAGCACCGAGTAGGGACTGGGTAAATATCTGTCAAATGAATGACGCGCTGTGGGGCTCAGGGCAGGGTCCCTCCCCTCTCTGCCCAGTGAGGCTGGTTTGGGGCTTGCAGGGTCTGGGGACCCACCTCTGCTCAGTGTTAAAGAGGGCAAAGATGTGCTTGCTCGACATGAAACCTTTCTCCACATCCCGCAGCTTCAGGTTGTCCACGGAAAGCATGTATTTCTTCTCTTTCTCCTGCGGATAGAGATGGGAGCAACGGTGAGGGGGGCCGCGCCTCACGTCCAAAGAGCACTCCGTGCTGGGGGCGGGGGGCTGGGGCTGCGGACCCCCAGAGTGGCCCCGGGCTTCTGGGCGCCAGGGCCCCCCTGCACTGAACAGGTGCTGTCTGAAGAGAGCTGGAGCCCTGGGCCTGCTGAGCACCTCTGGTGCCCAATGACCTTCAAGCCTTTCCCAAGAGCGCAGGGTGGCCAGGCTGAGGGTGGGTCCCAGTCCCACCCCAAGTGAGCCCTGGATGCAGTCCAGGCCGGCCCCAGCCAGGGACCCCGCCCTCAAAGCCTCTCTCCCCGCCGGCCCGGCCAAAGGAGACCTGCTTCGGATAAGCTGCTGACTTCATTTCCTGACTGTGGAGACAGAGAGACAGAGAAGGGGGGGCCACCGGCAGCCCCAGCGGCTTCAAAGGGCCGGCTCAGCCCACTCCCCCCAACCCACCCATGTGTTAGCAATCAGGCGCACGGCACAGACCCGGAGGTGGTCCGCCTGTGTGTGCAACGTGTGTGTGGCCGTGTGCCTGTGCGAACGCACGCCGGCCCGAGCACGTACACTGTCACCACCGTGTGTCAAGGCGGATGTGTGCACGCTTTTGTAGATGCGGGTGGCAACTGTAAATACCTGTGTCGTACGGAGCGTGCCCGCGGGCCACACTGCGGGCACACACATTTGCGTGCCTGTGGCCTGTTTAATGGGATTGGTTTGGCCGGAGCCCTCTGGGAGGAGTGATGTGTATCTGTGGATGCGCATGTGGGCGCCAGGCCGACGTGCACGCGCGTGTGTGCCTGCCATGGGCTGAGATCTGTCTGTAGGTTGCTAGGTTCAAGGGAAGGCCGGGGGATCTGCGGACGAGATAGTCCAGGATCGGGCTCTGGGAGGAGGACAAGGGTTTCTGCTGCCGGCACCCCACTTGCCCACACCACAGGACCCATGCTGTGACCGGGGGTGGGGTGTGGGGGGCGGGCGGGGATGTCTATGTGGGTCTCAGGGACTCAGGGCTTGGGCACGAGCCTCGACCAGGACCACGGGTCAGGGGCTGGGTTTAGGAGGACCCTGCTCCCAGTCCTGCCCACCTCCTTCTGCCCCCCCCCCCCCCCTCCACCCGCCTGGCCCATCCAGCCACATAAAGCCTTCTTTATGCCAGGCGGGTGGCCAGGAGCCCCAGAGGGCGGCTGGGGGAGGAGAGGAGGAAGTTGCACACGCGGCCAGGGAACATCTGGAAGCATTCGAGGGAGGCCCCGCCACCACCCGCCCTGCCGCCCTGCCTGCGCTCTGGGGTTGGACTCTAGGTAGGAGCGGCCTCCTCCCCCCACCCCTCCCTTCCTGCTGGCCGGCCCCCTCCCCAGGCCCCTCCTTCCCAGCCACAGCTCCCGCTCACCCCTGCCACGTCAAAGGAGGCAGAAGGGGAGTCGGGAGCAGAGAGCTGGGCTGGGGCTGGGGGGCCTTGGATCTCCAGGAGACGGGGCCGAAGCTCCCACCCGACCGACAGACACTGCTGCCTGGATGGATCAGAGGACACCTCCACTCCGTCTACCCAGTGTTTAGACTATCTGTTCAGGACTCCCAAATTGTACAGTAGTCTGCACATTGGTTAGGCTGGGCTGGGTTAGACCCTCGGCACCGCCGCTGGAGAGCTGGACCGACCCCCACACGCCATCCCAGAACCGGAGTCTGGAGACCGGGCAGGGGACTGGGGGGGGGGGGGGGGGGGTTGGGAGGGATGCTGGGAGGAGGTGCAGAGGGAAGGGGGGGTACCCTGCTGTGAGACGGGATGTGGGTGCTGACGGGTGGCAGAGGAAGAAATGAGAAGCTGGGGGGTCAGCGAGGGCTGGGGGTTTGGGCAGCCGCCTGTCTGCCCAGAGGGCCACCCGAGTCCCAAAGGCCAGAGGGCTGGCGGCTGGGGTAGAGAGGGGGACAGATCACGCTCCTCACAGCCCAGACCATCTCCATGTCCCCCAGGTGTTCTAGTGCAAAACTCCGCTCACATCCAACACACACACACACACACACACACACACACACACACGAACTCAACGACTCGACACGCACAGCCCCCCCCAACTCAGGCACATACATTCCCACACCCAAACTAAAATCACACATCTGTGACTCCTGCACATCTCACGCACACACACGTGCGCGTACACGCGCACCCTCACCATGGAACACCGGCCCTCTCCCATCCTTACGTCCCAAGTACATGCATATTGTTCCCCGTGCACACCCTCCCTCCTCAAGTCCATCTGCCACATACACGCACCTTCACTTATACACCGAGCACAGGCGCACACGCCCCAGAGTCAGACCTCAGGCACACACCGTCTGCCCCCAACCACACCTAGATGCTTACACCCCAAACGCTCTCCGACACCCCCCCCAACATCCACCAGCCTCGCACACCCCGCCTCCCGGCATTTGCTGCCCACCCCCACCCCGCCCACACCAACTCAGCACGGCTCCCACAGGCGACCCCACTCGAATGTGCACACAAAGCTCAATGAGACCCCGTCACGGGAGGACAGGGCCCCTCTTGGATACATTTCCCTGCAGTGTAGCCCTCAGCCCCAGGTCACACGGTCCCCTGGCCCCGTATGAGGAGCCCAACATAAGGGCACCAGGAGTTCTGGGGCCAGCGGTCAGCACCCCCGGCCCACGAGGGGTCTAGGTAGCCTGCCTGAGCGACGGAGCAGGAAGCGACCCCCCCCCCCACCTCGTCGCGCCACCTCACACTCCCTCCCTTCCAGGGGCCCCATGCTCTGGGAGAGGCCAGCGTTGGGGTAATGAGGTCCAGATGGCTTGGCGCCCCAGCCAGTGACGACAGAGGGCCCGGCCCAAGATGGGGGGGGGGGGGGGGGGCCGGCCCGGGATGACGGGGGGGGGGCGGGGATCAAGGAGGGGGCTCGGAGACCAAAATCACAGCCCCCACCCCAGCCCCACTCCCCCACCGAGAGCGCCCTCTCCTCTAAAAGCTTCCTCAGGAAGAGGGTCCCCTCCCCCACTCTGTGGCCAGCTGGAGTTCATTACTACAAGCCCCCCCACCCCCCCGCCCCCAGCCCTCCCTATTCTCTCTGGTCACCTCTGGAATCCAGATGTGGAAGCCAAATAGACTCATTCTTAAAGGAGACCAGCAGCAGGGGAGGGAGACGGCAGGGGCTCTGTCTGCCCCTGTGGGCAAGGAGGGGTTTTCCGTGGCTCCTCTACAGGGCCCCATCACTCCTGGTCCTTCAGCCTCGAGGCATCTGGGGCACCTCCTCTGCACCGACAGGGTCTGGGGGACTGGGGTGCAGGGGTTAACAGGGCGTCTGGCAGCTGGACGTGTGTGTGTCATAGGCCTGTGGGGGCCACGGGGGAGGCGGCACGCCCTTGGAGCAGGAAAACAGGAAGGCCACAGGGCTGGTGGGGTCAGGGGGGTGCCCAGCACCCCTGCCCACCCTCTCCAGGGCGCTGAGCCCCAGGCTCCCCGATCCTGATAAGCCATCTTCTCTGTCCAGCCTGGATGAGCTCCCGGGATTGCCTGGATCTTTGCAGCCCAACTCCATCCAAGGGTCTTTGATGGGATTAAAAAAAAACCCGTTTGTTGGGTGGTTCGGTCTACTCCTAGCCCAGGGTGTCTGAGCCTCACCCCCTGACCAGTGGCTCTTTCCTTACCTCGTCATCCTTATACCAGGACAGATTCTCGGCCGTCAGCACAAACCAGTACTCCTTGGAGCCCCCCTTCATGATGCCAATGTTGTTGATGGTCAGCCAGCCCTTCCGGATGACCTGGAGGGTGAGAGGGCAGGAGGTCAGTGGGCAGAGGCCCGGATTCCCTGCGGAGTAGGCAAAGAGAGGTGCTCAAAAGCCCGCCCCTCTTCTAGCTCTTGGAGGCCTGGCCGGTCAGAGCAGGCCAGACCTGCTCTGGTTTGAACCACAAGTGAATAGACTGGAAGAGGCAGGAAGGCAGAGGTCGGGTCGGGATAAAGAGCTTTTGATAGTTAGAGCCACCTGAGTAGGGGACTGGTAGCCTTCGTAGGGGATGAGCTCCCCACTGCTCAAAGTGTGGAGTCGAGTTGAGGTGGCCAACTGGGCCACACGATTCTGAAGGTCTTTTCAACTTGAGATGCACCTTATTGTAAGACTTGTTTCTGACCTCAGGGACTTCGCACATGCTGCTGCCGCCTCTGCCTAGAACGCACTTCCCCTCCTGTTTGTCAAATTCCTATGCGCCCCCGCCCCGGGCATCAGCTCAGGAGTCACATTCTCAGGTGGGCCCTCCCTGGCCCCCAGTAGGAGTCAGGACCCCCACTATAGTCTTATTGTCTTTTATCACTCCCTTCTGTGACAATGGCTGATATTCAAAATTGTGTGTGTGTGTGTGTGTGTGTGTGTGTGTGTGTGAGAGAGAGAGAGAGAGAGAGAGAGAGAGAGAGAGACATCATCTCTTGATGCCTGTCTTGCTAAATTGTGAGCTCTCTAAAAGCTCACTGGTATATTCGAGCACCTTGCAGTGTGCTTGGCAGGCAGAAAGTGATCAATAAACATCTGTGACATGAACACATGAATGCAACAGAAGTAGGGTTCTCCGGGTCTCTGGCCCCAGGCTCTGGACAGGAGTGGGGTGTTGGGGAGTGGGAGCAAGGGGAAGGGCTGAGCACGAACTGAACAGGCCCCTTTGTCCCTGGGGAGCCCAGAGTAACAGGCAAAGGTCTCTTTTCATTGTAGGAAGCTGCTGTCCCCAAGACCATCCTGAGCCATCACCGCAGACCAGGGCCTGCAGATTCTACTCCAAGGTCAAGGCCACTAAGTAGACCCTAGCAGTGGGCCATCCTGAGTGTGAGGAAGCTTCTTCTGCTCCATCCCCTGGCCCTGACCTCCCTGGCTTTTCTGAGCATCCAGAGAAGACAAGAGGAGCCTGGGGCTCGCAGAAAAGCCCTCTGGGGTCAGGCCCACTTCCGAGGCCCCCAAAACCCTCCTGGAGCCTTCCTTGACCCTCTCTGGCTTCCCCAAGAACCTTGCAGAGAACCCAAGTCACGCAGTGGATCAGTAGCGGTGTAGCTGTCTTAGCCTTTAACAGAAACAAGAGAGCCAGGTGCCCCATGATCCTTCTTCCACCCTGTCCCGGTTCGGTGAGGATCCCCTCAGTGTCTTGCCACTGTCTTCAGAATTGAGTCCAAATGCCACGCCCCGGCACTCCATACCCCAGGATCTGACCAGCAGACCTTGTCATGCTACTTCCTGCTGACTTGCAGCCTTCGTCCTCCCTTGGCCACCCCCAGCTCTGCCAAACCTCCAGCCAGAGCCCCTGCACCAGAGACCTCCTGCTCTTCCAGCTCCCACCCTGCCTGGGTCCTGACTGCAGGCTCAGGTCTCCAAGGGACAGCACCAAGGTCTGACTCCTGTCCAGGGACCAGCACAGCATAGACGCCACCGAGCGTTTGCTGAACCGAATTGCCCTGGGATATTACATTCATCAGTAGTATCATCACTAGTATCATCAGTAGTATCATCACTAGTGAGCACCTACTGTGTGCCAGGCCCTGGGCTGAGGGCTGAGAACGTGCTGATGGACAAGAGAGACCCGGCCCTTTCCCTCATGGGGTTTGAGAAGGAACCAGATATGAAGCCAATAATCACACGAACACCTAGATTATTGTAAAGAAACTATGGCCTCTGGAAAATTCCAGATTATGGCTTGTGTGTACAGGTGAGGATGAGAAGTGGTGTTTCAGCAGAGATCTGAAGGGCAGAAGAAGGCAAAGAGGGACATGTTTCTTGATATTTCACTCATCTCTTTACTCAACTCTCTGGTAGAGATGGCCACCTTAAAAATAGATTTCTCTCTCATCCATCCATCCATCCATCCATCCATCCAACAGATATTTAAGGAGCACCTAATGATTTCCAGGCCCCCACCAGCCATTTTCACTCACCCAGCCCACATGATCTACCTCTGACTGAAGGAGATACTTAGCTCATGCACACTGATGGGTAGGCTGATGGCTCTGTGTATGGCTAAGCCTTGCCTCTGGACTGAGATCGTGTGTGGACACCCATGTGCTGGTGTGTGCAAGCAGCTCAGGCCAGGGTGCCCTTCCCCCCCCGTGTGTCCCCACTACAAATGGGCCCCCTCCTCCCCCTCACTACATAAGCCAAGAGCCCCAGTCCTGGTACTCACCAGAATCTCATCCTGCAAAGAGGTAACCATAGCAACCACGAGAAGCATCGGGAGAGAGGAGAGAGGGTTACTGAGGCAGAGTGGGAGGCTTGTGGCTGGCAGCTGACAGGCTCCCTGGCCCCTGTGAGACCCTTCCCCTCGGGGGGAGGGGACTCTCAGAGCTTGGCGTCCGTCCGGCACCCTCCATCCTTCCGGCTGGGGCACTGGGGTTCACTCACCTGGTTCCCTGAAGCCTTCTTCTTGTTCATCTGGTTGCTCCTCTGCTGAGCACTAATAGGGAGCGAAGGAAGAGTCTCAGAACTTCTCTCAAGAGGCCTTGCTTCAATGCCACTACCCAGTGGGCACCACGCTCAGAGGGTCAGCCCAGCAGGCCTGTGTCCTATACATGCATGCATGCATGCGCACGGGCACACACGCACACGCACACGCACACACACACACACTCCCGGGAGCTGTCACCTTCTCTGCCTAGGGAGCACTCACTTGGCAAAGCCTATGAAGTCCTCATGATTGGTATTCATGTAAGCCAACTCAATATCGATGAGAAGCATGACCTTTGAGGATACACACGTCAGCAGGCAAGGGGAAAAAGTACGGCAAAGTTTTAAAATGCATGAAAAGCTGGAAGAAATATACTTATGGCACCTATAGAATCCATAATAAATCAATCAACACATCAGTAATAGTATCCATAATAAATAAAAGAGTTCCTACAAGTCAATAAGTGAAAGGCAGACAAGAAACACAAATCAAAAATAGTCAGAGAACATGGTTGCATAATTCATAGAAGAAACGCATATAATCAGTAAGGATGTGTAAAAAAAAAAAAGCTCACCCTCATTAATAAAGAAATGTAAATGAAAACAATGAGACCCTTTCATAATCTATCAAATGAATAATAAATATTTATAGTGACCAGTGTGGGCACACTGTGGGGAGACAGATTCTCATACACTGTTGGTGGGAATGTAAATTAGCATCACCTTCTTGGAGGGTAATTTGGAAATATTTAACAATATTAACATGCACATATTCATTTCTAGAAATCTATTTATCTATCTATCTAGCCGGTATCTATCTGGTAGATAAGCTCATCAAGTGAGCAAAGCTATGTATCCCAGGGTGTTCAGTGTGGTGTGGTTGGTAATAGTGAAAAATTGGAAACAAGCCAACGGCCATAAGAAAGTGAAATAAATTATGGTTGCTTCTAAGCAATAAAGCACTCTACAGCTGTTCAAAAGAACGAGTGCCTGGGTGGTGCAATCGGTTAAGCATCCGACTCTTGATCTCGGCTCTGGTCACGATCTCGCAGTTCGTGAGTTCGAGTCCCACTTCGGGCTCTGCGCTGATGGTGCAAAGCCTACTTGGGATTCTGTCTCTCCTTCTCTCTGCCCCTCTCCTGCTTGTGCTCTCTCTCTCTCAAAATAAATAAATAAACTTCTAAAAACTTAAAAAAAAAAAAAAGAATGAGGACAATTTCTAAGTTCTGGGATGGGAAGATCCCCTTTGCAAATAATGAGGACTAATGGGATTCAGAACTGAGTCACGACCAGAGTGACTTTTTTTTTTTTAAGTGGAAAGTGGAAAAAATAAAATTTGTTTAAATG